CATTTAAATGCCGGTTTATATATATATTTTTTTTAATTCACATTAGTTTAAAATTGTGTATTAGAAAAGTTATTAATCCTAATAAATTTATGCTTAGTATTTTTAATTAAAAATATTATTTCTTAAAAAAATTTATTATCCCCCCCCCAGATCAAATTCCTGCGTACGCGCCTGAAGGAAGCTATTACTACTAGAAGGCTAAAATCTTCAATTCAATTGCCCTTTAATAACATTTTCTCATTATGCAAAAGTTTATTAAAATTAAAAGAGTCATGCCTTATTATTAATTTCAACAAGTTTATTAATAAATTTATTTCTGAAATAATGTATTAAACTTTGTTGATTTTAGTTTTTCTGATTTGCATAAATTAACATGTGGTTTAATTTGAAATGAAATTCACAAAAATTTTTGTAACCCCTTTATAATTTTAAATTTAGAAGCGCATAAAAGCAGGAATCCAAACCGAACATGAACCGAACCGTTAAACCGCTAAAAACCTGTATTTTTTATCGAACCTAAACCGAACCTAAACCTCTAAAAAATTCCTAGCCGAACCTGAACCGAACCGCTAAAATGCCTCTGAACTGGTTCGAGTCTCATAATTTTATGCTTATAAAATAATGTGTAAGTTATTACTAGTAGTATATTGCAAAAATTTTAATTATATTCAAATTGTTTTAAAAATTATTATCAATCACATTTGATTGATAAACGTCAGTCATAATTTTTATAAACTTTAGTATATTGCCATTTTGCAATATTTAAATATTTAAAGCATATAAATTATAATGCCTAGAAAAAAATTTAATCTAATATATAAATTATTTACATATAGTATTATAAATGACACATCAAATCTGATATCATACTGGCAATGCCAGCTACCCAAGTTAGTGTGGAAGGATGTTTTTCAACAATTAAATTTATATTATCTCCTTATAGATGTAATTTGAGTGAGAGAATTTTGAAAATATATTAATTGTGCAGCTTAGTAAAAAAAATTTAAGTAATTGCTCATATTTAAATTAATCATTGATATATTTATTTGTTATATTTGTGCAATTAATAAAAATGAAGGTTTTTATTTTAATTATGAAATAAAAAAAAAAATTTCCTGATACATAATCCTAATGTAGGTTTGACAAATGTGTTCAAACCGGTTTTTAGAGGTTCGAACCGAACCGATATTTTTATTTTTTGCGAACCGAACCTGAACCTTGAACCGTTATTTTTATCCGAACCTGGACCTGAACCGAACCGATATTCGTTTCGGTTTGGATCCCTGCATAAAAGTTTTAAAAAATAATTAAAAAATTATGCATCATGGAATATTAAATTTAAGTCATTTAACAAAACGTTATTTTCTTATTAGGATCTTGATTTACATTTAGTGATCTTATTATTTATGAGACTACAAATTATTTGGGTATCTAAATATATGGCAGAAATGCACCTATCTCACTTTTTTGGCTAATATACTGATACCAAAGCAAATACAATACCACAAATTAGAGACGGGCATGGGATGGCCAAAATTGACTATTTTCTACCAGGTTTTTCTCTCTGACCTTCCAATTGCTTGGCTCTTATAATATATTGTATAAGTGGCCTTGCCCAGTCTGTAATAGTTTTTATAAAATAACCTATATTTGCCTATTTGTCAACCTTAAGAACATCTTAAAGACTTTTCCATGGCTCAGCGCCAGTGCTGTAGTCCCATATTACTCTAAAAAAAATATTCGGCATAGCTATTCTTTTTCGATATTTTAAATAATATTAACTGCATTTTTCCTTGATTATCTATTGTAGACCTGTGTTAGCCACTATTTAATATATGAAGAAGAACTCCATTGACCGTGAGAATTCCCATTAACTTTTATCTTGATTAAACTGGAAACGTTTTCTCATAAGACGTGCACACAAATCCGTCATAATAACATTCATATGTTAAGCGCACATTCAGCAGACATCTGAAATATTTGAATTAGGGCACACTATACCTGCAAAGTGTAGACTGCCCTTAGGGTTATTTCATGACCAATCAGCCACGATTCGGCCCACCCCTATTAATTTTTTTTAAAATTTCGTAAGCAAAGAAAGGCTAATGTAACTAAGAAATTTCCAAAATTTTAGCCTCCTAACATTTATATTTTGGAGATATTAGGGTTCAAAGTGGCATAAATGACGTATATTTACCATTATCTGCCTTCATTCAATTAAGCATGTCTTAAAACTACATAATTGTAAATGATAAATTTAATATTAAAATTACAGGCAAAGATTTAGATTTAAATTCTTTTTTTGATTTTTCCAATTTCCGGCCATTTTATTTAATATATAAAAACTAAAAACGAATTTTTGAAAATAATACAACCTTTCATTAGTAAAAATAGACGCGGTACTAGGGCTTATCAACCAAATTTTTATTATACCTAAAAAGCCTTTAATCACGTAAAAATTTAGTAAACATTACTAAACTCTTTCTTTATATTTATGGAAAAAAAATCGGTCTGGACGCGACCATCTTCATTTCCAAAATCGATAAAAATGATTAGAAAAGTATATGAATATTTTCTCGAAAGTAGACGTCTTTGTATAAAATTATATATTAATCAGTTTTTAATGGTTTTTCTTGAACTATTTTATATAATTTAGAGGATTATTCATCTTGTAAATGAAAATAACAATAAAGAGAGGTTTCAATTCAAATGTATTACATTATTTACAATTTATAAAATTATTTGCCCATATAACATATATTTATTGAATATTAATAAAATATGTTTAACCAAGTAGAGTTCTTGACTCTATGAATCGGAGTGAACATCTCATTTTATGAGGGAAAACATAAAATTTCTTAATTCTAAGCCATAACTGCAAGGACCTCAATATATATTTTTTTGAATGATAAATCTAATGAAATTAATTATCAAATTATTCTGTGTTTAGGTCTTTTGTTTAAATAGTGATTTCATAATTTTAAAACCTTGTTAATCTTTTTTAACATTTGGCTCAAGCTTGATTTTTTCAAATTAATTGATAAGTATATAGATGACAACCTAACTATAAAAAATGAACATGACTTATTGATAATTTTAGAATTTGATATTATTGTCTGTGCATATAATTTTTGATATGTTTGTTTTTAAAAAAATATTGCCTAATTTGCTTAATTTTTATCCTATTATTATATTTTTCAATCAAACCTTTTGTTTTTATTTGAAAATGAATAGGAATTAATATCCGCATGAGATGGCTTTTTTATTGTCATGTGCTGACACTCTCTTTCACATTAGAGATTTGCAGGTTATGGCTAAAGCTTGCTATCTTTGCTGAGACTGCTGGCCTCTTATAATTGTATTATAAATTTTGCAAAATCATAAATCGTTGTCTAAAAATAAACATGATTTTGGAGACCTGGTTCAGGTTTGCTAACTTGGGTGATAGGCCGGAGTCTTTAAAATATTATAAACTACACGATGTTGAGAGGAAAAATCTGGGCTAGACTAGTGAAGGAGGTGTAGGCAGAAGTTTTATTTTCATTGTTTAAAGTCTTTTTAACTAGCTTGCTTGCCCATCCTTTTTTAAACCTAATTTAATATTAAAAAGTGTTTGATTAGCTGTTTTGATTTATTTATATTTTTACATAAACTTATAGAAATCAAACTATCATGAAATATAAAATAATTCTTTTAAAATAAATATAAGTCTCTTCTACTCATTGCACTGATTCAGGGTGCGAGGATTGGTTCTAGATCCACCAAAAATTTTAAAGGAAGTAGTTCAGATAATTTTTAAGTGCAAGAATGTAACCAAAATTATCAATTTTTTTAAAAATAATGCTCATAATGAAAATGAAGCCGAAATAATTTTCCAGTTGAGTTTTTTATTAAGAAATTTATAAGATGTTTTTAGCAAAATATCTGGAAGAGTCTCCACATCTTATTCAAGCATTCAACACCAACCATATTGGAGAGAAAGTTCTTCAAAATGTTTTCCAAAATCAATATAATGTAAAAGCAAAAGGCAATATATGCTTAACCTAAAATAAAATAATAAATGAGGCACCTTTTTATTTTGATATTTTTGTTGTTAGTCAAATAAAATGGTGGAGGAAAATATTCTATGTGCTAGAAGAAAATAATATATATTTTTGTAATAATATGAATATGATGAAATTGAAGGACTTATAAAAAATTCCTGACATGATCTGGACCAGACCTTCATGATATATACCTAATACTATTTATTATAAGGCCTGGGTTTTTGAAAAATTTTTTAATGGGCTTGGGTCCAAATATTTTTTGTTTAAATTTGGCTTATTTAAAACAGTTGCTAACTTAAAAAAATATTTCTATTTTTTTCTTATAATAATAAATTCTACTTATAATAATAAATTCTACTTATAATAATAAATTCTAGTATAGTAAACAAATTGAATACCTAAATAAACTTAAATTTTGGATACGGGCTGGGTTTGGGAAAAAATTTTAAAAATATTATGAGCTTAAGCTAGGCTTGATAATTGTTTTTAATATTAAATCTGGACCTGGGCCTAAAAAAATTTGACTGCGGGCCTGGGCCGGGCTTGATCATGAAGATCTCCGATCTGGACCATGAAAAAATACATTCAGATTTGAGTCCAAATTAGTCCCAACTTTGTGGGGTTTAAATCTGCAAATCCATTTATAAAATATATTGCCACATAATATAATTATTTTAATTCAGTATAGCTATCAACCCCTACCAACCCGGATGTGACTTTTTGAAAAATGTTTTTCACTCTGGTCTTTAAAATATTTTTTCTCAAATTGTCCAGCCCTACCCATAATAATTTATTATGAAGGAAAATTACATAAATTTGACCTATTGTAAGCTTTAAACATAATTTTCTAAATTTCGGCATATAAAAATATTTTGCACAAGTTATGAGAGCTGGACTTTCATGCCCATTACCGAAATTTATAAATCACCTTATATGATGTCAATTATTTTTAAGCCTTGGATGCCACATCAACAATTTATAGACGTAACAATTCACCCTCACTCGGCGATATTTTTCCAACCCCTCGGCGATATCCCTCCAATTACGCATTCGCCCTATACATAACGTTGCGGCTAGACATCAACTCAATACAAATTAATTTATCCTCTAAAAGTATAATTTCCTTATAGGCAATAAGTATATACCGAACTAAAATCTTTGCCAGTTAAAACTAACCATCTCAATTTTTTTAGCAATCTTGCTCAATAACAATAAAACCCACCTAACTTTTTAAATTTGTTCACGCCATTCATTCCTCCATAGTCAATCATTTGATCTGACAGCATTGTAGAAACCTCAGAAGCTTTCCTTTAAAAGTTTCAACTTCCCCCGTCCCTTCTCCCATTCTTTCTTTCTTTTTTTAAATTTGTTAAATTTTTTTTCGAATATTTTTCGTTCTTTTTATATTCGAAAAAATATTATTGGATTTTATTATTTTCAATTATAATTTAAAGTGTTATGATTTTAAAAAGAAATTTGTTAATTGATGCGTGTGAATTTTCTTACTTTTTCTCCCCCAATATTATCCTCATAAATATATTTATCAATTTAAATTTGTTAAAACAGAGTTTATTCTTTTTTTCTGCACCTTTTTTTAACGACTAATTATATTTATGACCAATTTTAGTTCCCGAATAATGCCTACCCTGATTCCGATCAGTATCTACTTTAAAATTTTTTTTGTGTATTATAGATTTTATATATTATATATCTGTTCCATGTTTTAAAAATAATACGTTGATTCACGAATTTATCGTTAACCGTTTAATTGTTTTCCTACATTTTATATGATTTAACAAATTTAAAAAGTTGTTTTTCTTATTAAAAAAAATTTTTACCACTTATATTTACGAAAAAAATATATTATATTTTACTATTTTTGTTTTCCCGTCACCCTTATATTTTTTTGATTTTTAAATCAACTCAAAATGTCTTTTTCATTGAATTCGGTTTCTAACCGGCCCATGTTATCCTCGCTAGCCTCCGTTAACGACGAAATTACTAGTGCTGACAAAAATAAGTAATTGATTTAATTTTTTATTAGGGCTGTACCGATATTGGAATTAGAGATCTGTAAAGTTAGGCCCGAGTCCGGCCCCCGAATCGGGCCTAATTTTATTTAAAATAATCGGGTTCGGGCCGGGCCTAATATTTTTAAAAAAATTCGGGCCGGGTCGGGTCGGACTTTGGAATTTTTTTTAAATATATCTAAATTTTCAATTTTATGTTGAATTTTTTATGTAAAATAAAAATATTTGATTTTATTTATTGAAACTAAACGATATATATATAACATGTCTTTTATTTTGAGTAATTATAAAAATTAATTTCTATATTTAAATAAATTCAGGCCGGGTCAGGTCGGTAAATTTTTTTAAAAAAAAATTTCTGGCGGGGCCGGCAAAACCTTTTAAAAAAAATTTCGGGCCGGGCCGGGCTTGAAAAATTAAGCCCGATGCAGATCACTAATTGGAATAACCCAATATAAATTTATATATTTCGCATCGCTAATTTTTTATGCATAAACATCTTGGAATAGCGAATCACATATTTTAAAACAAAATTATTTTAAGGAACCGTTTAGTATCGGGCGATTTAAAATTTGTTCAAAATTGAATCGGTTTTCGCCAATATGCTGATTTTATTTGCCGCTTCCATCTCTCCTTAAAATATTTTAGTTTGATAGCAAATTTTTAAGTGGTATTAACATTCCAAGGTCGTTATGTATTAAAAAATCTGCCAGTCTTGTGTCAAGTTCGAAATATTCCCACCTGGCTATTTTAATATCTGTGCAGCCTAATTTTATAAATTTATTGTATCATATATATATATATATATATATATATATATATATATTAATAATCGTTCAGACTCGAAAAGACTAATAACAAGTTACTATCTTCCCTAAACGGAGCAACAATCGACAACCAAACCTATTTCACTTACAACAATTACACCTGCACTACGAACGGACTGACCTCTCACGATGGCGCACACACCAACGTCAATTCGAGAAGCAAGCTACTTCTCTGGTGCAGTGACTCCCTGGCTAACATGGCAGGAGCCTCCCACCACGTTGAACCCGACAACAAAACAGACACAGAGAGAACCCTATTTGAAAGTTATTTTGATTCCACTAATGAGGTAACTTTCGGAAACGTTAATGGTTTCACCAATAAAGATGAAACTTCGCTTGCTAATCTAACATCCACCCATGCCAAAATGCCACTCTCTGATGTGGCTTGCAGCACCTGGTCATGCCCCATGTGTGGGCGCGAAGAAAATAAATTTCCTGAGACGCTCCCTGATGCTGTCAGAATCTTGAGTTGCTTTCACCAAATTTGCGCCACTTGTTGTGAATCTATACCCATTAATAATAGCGTCATGCTGAATGGAGCCGGTAGTTTGTCCTGCCCTGTTTGCCGTCAAGTTACAAACATGTCATCTAAGGGTGTCAGGGGCCTCATGACGAAAGCCCTTTGGAGATCCCTCTTCCCAACCGAGGCGGGTGGCCATGCTGCATCCCTTGTTGGCGATATCCCGACCTTCCGAGATAGTGGAGGAGGTTCTGCTTCCACAGATGACGACGACAAGGATATTGGCCTGGGCATAAAAGACAAGCACTCGCTAGACCAAATTGTGCCCTCCCTCTCCTCCACATCGTTTCCCCCTCCCTGCTCCAAGCACCCCGCCTTCATTTTATCTTACATTTGCAAGACCTGCGACATATTTACTTGCCAAGAATGCTTTGCTTCAGAACACGCTCCCCATGCTCACGATTTTATATCCTTGGATGGATTTTTCCCAGGCTCTAACTTTGTACCAACCATGGCTACCATGAATATAGGTGATGGGCATGTTTTGCGGATGGCTGCCGCAACTTCTGAGGGTTTCAATGATCGAGCTAAGGTCATGATCGACGTTATCAAGGGTAAATTGATGGAATACGAAATTGTTCTTAAAACTGCAGAAAAAATGTCCCACAAACTGCAGGCACAGTACCTTCAAGCCAAACGAGAAGTTGGGGTTACAACTATGAACTTTCACAATGCTATCGAGAATAGGAAAAGTGAGATTATGAAAGAACTCGAAGCAGCCTTTACTGCCAAGGAATTTAAAATTTCTTTGATAAGCCAAAAGTTAAATGATTTTTTGCAAAAGTCGGCTATGAATTTTCAACTAGTGGAAAAGTTTTCTACTTCTTCTAAAGAAGCATCATCCGAAGCCCAAATGCAAACAATAAAGCAGTTATTTGATCCCCGTATTTCTTGGATACTTAATTTGTCACCATCAGTTCTTGCACACCAAATTAGCAACTATGATTTGGAATTTATTACATATGCCCCAGCCATCCCAAACATTATAAAAAATGCATTTGGTCATATAAAAGAAACAACTTTAGAGTCTCCTTATCTGTCAAAGACGATTCAAAATTTTTGGCGGGATGAAGGCTCTCTACTTCCAATAGACATGCAAAATCTTAAACAAGCTGTACCATCTATCAGCGATAATCTGCCAAATTCTTCTTTAGCAAAAACCACTAATTCAAATTCCCTACTACCTAGTAATACCTCTGACCTCACTATGAGCGACATTACCCAAAATCTTTCCACCTACGAAAAATGGTGTAACTCTGTCAATCAAATCCACGCACTAAATAATTCTCTTGAAAAGACTAACGAAGAGGCATTATCAAACCCCAACGCATTAACGTCCTCATCCAATGATAATGTTAAAACTAGATTGGAACAAGCTAAGAAAGATAATTTAGCCCTCTCCTCATTACTGTTGCATCATAATATGAATTCCAGCTCGGCGAATAACAAAATCCTTGAAATGAACTTGATGGGCCTAACCATGGAGATGAATAACAATTCTGCCATACCCTTGATCAGTGAGCCATTTTGTCCACTTCAACCTCAACCTGGTCATCCAATATACTCACCCAGTTTCACAGCTATAGCTAAGTCGAGTCAGAACCAGATTAAACGCCGCAAGATGATTTATCATTGTAAGTTTGGGGAGTTTGGCTTGTTGGAAGCTCAATTCACTGAACCGAGTGGTGTGGCGGTTAACGCCCAAGGCGATATCATAGTGGCTGACACCAATAACCACCGAATTCAAATATTTGATCGAGAGGGACGATTCAAATTTCAGTTTGGCGAGTGTGGCAAGAGAGATGGGCAGCTTCTTTACCCTAATAGGGTTGCTGCAGTTCGCACTTCTGGCGATATTGTTGTGACAGAACGCAGCCCAACCCATCAAATTCAAATATTCGACAAGTTTGGTCGTTTTTTGCGCAAGTTTGGCGCTGACGTGCTTCAACATCCCCGGGGAGTTACAGTGGATCCTGAGGGTAAAATTGTCATCGTTGAGTGCAAAGTTATGAGGGTCGTCATATTTGACCACTTGAGTGGTGAGGTTTTGCATAAGTTTGGTTGCTCTAAGCACCTGGAATTCCCAAATGGGCTTGCTGTCAATGATCGCAAAGAGATATTTATCAGTGACAACAGGGCTCATAGTGTCAAAGTTTTTAATTACCAAGGCCACTATTTACGTCAGATTGGCGGTCCGGGAATCACTAACTATCCAATCGGTGTAGGCATCGAGTACTCCACGGGACGCCTGCTTGTTGCCGACAACCATAACAATTTTAATTTAACCATTTTTGATCAACAGGGTACCTTACTTGATGCATTGGAGAGCAAAGTTAAGCACGCACAATGTTTTGACGTGGCCTTATTGGATGACGATTCTATGGTGCTGGCCAGCAAGGATTTTCGCATATACGTATATCGGTACAATAATAATGACGCCCTAAACGCTGCAGGTCTTCAAGAAGGTGCCTCAACCTCTAGTACAGATATCTTGGGCACTGGAAGTAACAATACATCTAGCGGAAATAGTCTCAGCCCGATAAATGAATTACCACTTGTTTCTTTACCGCTTCCTCTTATCTCTCAGCACAATGTTTTACCTCTCAAATATGTTGGGCTGTCAACCCCTTCCTTGCACCCGAATCTCCACCATGCCAATCTTTCAGAGAATAAATCTACTCTGTCACCCTCTAAAAACTCCCTTAATGGGAATTCCAAAGTGTTTGAGCATCCTTCATTAGCTGTACTCAATCAGAATTGGCATCAGAACTGGCTCCTCATCACCCAGCAGCACCAGATGCAGCAACAATTGCAACAACAGCAGCTACAAAATAAGGCTCAGCTACAACACATGCAACCTGATTCCCAAAATATGACCTTGCTCGAAAATTCTTGCTATGACCGGGCACTCAAGACAGCTTGCTCTGTGTTAGCACCGCCTGTTTCTTCCTCACAAGGCTCCCACTTGAATCATACTATTGCTACTTCATATGACGAGGACTCAGCTCACCCCACCAGTTCTCCCGATTTAGCAAGCATAATCGAAGGCCCCCTCAAAACCTTCGGATATTATCAAGCTCCTTATTGGTCACCCTACGACAGTGTGTTGGCTTTTGTCAATGACTCACGAGTGCCTGATCGCAGATTTTCTTCGTCGGTTTCTAACAAATATCCACCGACGATTTGAACTTTCCGGGTTAGTCTATAAATTAAATACAGTAAACTCTCCAAAGGTTGCCATATCTGTAAAATAGGCCTAATACCTCGATTCAATTCGTATAATACGATAATTATTCGAATTTTCATATCTAATATTTGATAAATCGAATAAGGGTTTTATTATTCGTACAAATGCGAATAAAGGATTATTTGGGCATACTATAAAATGTTTTAAAAAACTGTTTTCTTGCCATTCAACTCTTTATTTTGGATAATTACAATGATATGTTTATGTTTTTTTCATAATAAATTTATTTATCGGTATATAATCATTTGCAGCCCGTCAAAATTGAAATTCGAGGAAGATTCATATTGTAGATGGATGTCAATTTTTTTAAATCATTGTTTTAGAAAGCTTCGAATTTGTCACGATTTTATTTTATATATATAATTATTTGTTCTCTTTGAGTTTTGACCCGTGTCTCTTTTTGTTATATATATATTCAATTTTTTTTACCCGTTTATTTTTTTGCCCGATTTTTGAATTTTTCTTATATAGTTTTTTTTAAACTTAAAAATTCTTTATATATTGAACCAATAATTAATTATTTTGTTACTCGATATAAATATTATTTCAAAAAAAAATTTAAAAAATACCCCAAAAAAATTATAAAAATGCACAAAAAGATTTTAAAAAAAAATTATATATTAATCGTTTTTCTTCTTTATCGATGCAAAAAAATGGATGTTAGGATGATTTGAAATTTCATTGGATAAATATGCTGTTTGTCTATTTGCAAAGCAGTTATTCCTTAGTTATATCTACTAATTTATTCTTCCATTTTTATTAATAGAAATATTAATCACTTTTTTAAATATATGTTTAGAAGCCGATTTGGTTATATATACTGAATTCCCTAATATTTTTACTTTTTCGATTTTTCTTGTCCATCCTTACGGCTATTCTATCATTTTTATTATGCTTTATTTTCCAATACTCATTTTCAACCCTTTAATTTAAACCCAATTTTTTTTACATCTGTCAGGCTGAAATCGTTTAGACTGTCTTTTCGATTTAGATTCAGAATTTAGACAAATTTTTTTTTCGCTCCTAATATAATTTGTTATTAACCCGACATTCCTTCGATTTTTGAAGTCGATTGAGTAAAATGTTAGTTTTCTTTGTGATGAATCATTATTGTAAATCACATTTTAGAGATGATGGGTAGAGTTGTTTTTTACATTTAAAAAAAATATTTTTTTATAAAGCGTTCAAAAATCTTGGAGGTATTATTTCAATATCCACAAAGGTATGTATAATAAAGTTTTCGTGTTTTTTTCCATCACACATTTCTTGATTTTTTTTATTATAATTTTGTTATTTTTATTTCTTATATTTAAATCATCATCCATTTATACCTATTGTTTATTTTGTTTTTTTGTGTAATCAGTTAATCAATTTAAGTTCGCAAAAAAATTTACCGTTTAATTAGTTTGTTCTACAATCAATATATTATCTTATAAAAAAATCAATAAATAAAAATGTTGAATCACGAATTTGGTTCGTGTCTTCACGTTTTACTAAATTTGGGAATACATAAAATAAGCAACTAGACGAGGGTATTTGCGACCCAGAGATTGTCTCCAGAACGTTCCTAAAAGCATATCTGATTTTATTAACGAATGCATTTAATTCCTTGGCAACATTAAACTTTATAATTAAATTAATTACTTTATTAAAACCTATAAGTATTTGGGATATACCACCCGGAGCTTCCCTATTTGGAATTGGAACGTTTTTTATTAGCCGGTTCTTCATCGCTTCCTTCCCAAATATGTTAACTTATTTATTTTAAAAAATTAAGATACATAAATCAAATTTTTTTGTATGTGCTTATAACTAGATATATAGAATGGGACTTGGAGGAGATTATGGTACGAGAACATCTCTAACGTTCCGACTTCCGAATAATATTGGAAATTAAATTTTGACATAATTATTTATATTCATTTTTTATTTTCTTAATCCCAGTTATCACATAACAAAATTATTTGATTTTAAGAATTAAAGATTATAAAAATTTTAATCATATTTGATATAATTTTGACTGTTTTAATTATAAAATTAATATTGTATAATAAATGTTAGCGTTGAGAGATGTTTTTCGACACTCAAATTTAATTAACACCACATTAATAGAAATGATAATTTTTTAGAAAATGTCTTAATCAATACTTAGTAAAAATGTTAATGGCCAGAACAGGAACGCAAAAATCCCTTTGTTCCGGGTCCATGCTTATAATACAAAAACAAATCATCTCTAGATGAACTGTCGATTAATGTGTATACTATTGTTGGAGGAAAATTGATCTAATAAATCTAGATATATTTTTATTGAATTAAGCTTTTATTTTGCGCATTAATATTTTTATTAGTCGTATAATAAATTTAATTTTTAAGATCCGCTGCATTCTTACTAAGTATTAAACAGCATTTTCATAAAATAGAAAATTGGGATTTAAGAAAACTAAAATTTGACAAGAAATAACTTTATTTTTTCCTAAAACGAGCATTATTTTGACTACTAGACTGAAGCTCGTCTTCTGGATAGGTTCTCTTTTTATCATGCTTAGTAATTAACAATATCTTCTTTCGCTGATCGAACTCCACCAACCATACTTGGGAAATTAAAGGCTTACACTTTATTTTTCTTTCAAGTTCCTCTAAAAATTCAAGAGGTCGTTTATTTTTATAAATTAAAGTCTTTAATTCGTTCTATCCTTAATACGTTAAGGGGTCCTGTTTTTATATTATCTTACATTTTAAAGCTCATATTAACTGCATGAATATTCGACTTTTTCATTAGGGTATCAAACTTCATCAAGTTCAATTTTTCTCTTCATGGCTTTTTTTTGATAACATTTTTAATTTACAAAATTATCGTTTGATTTTCTTTTTTTTTGGGGGGGGGGGGGGGTTAATAAAATAATTTAAACGATCATAAATCTAATTATATTGCTAATTTTTGATTTGGGAGAACATTTGAAAAAAAGGCGAGCGTTCGCCTATTGTACAATTTAATGGGAATCCATTTTGACAAAAAATACTAATCGAGGTAAGTTATTTATCGTTTATTATCTTCATTTTCTACAAAACTAATTCGATCATATTCTAAAAGATATTTTGCATATTAAGTTTTATATCTTTTTTAATAAATATAAAATTTCATTTAAAAAATGACGCGTTATAAATTTATAAATATTGAAAAATACCACGTTTTTTTTTGAGTCAATTGATTTCTGATGAATTTCGACAGAGTGGGGAAAACACAGTCCGGGATGGTCGATAATGGGATCCAGGGGGCCGGATTTGGGTATCGATTTTGTCATGGGATCACGCGGACAACGTAGTGTAAATATTATAAAGTTATTCAAAAGCAAATACAACAAGGTTAAACAAATTTTATTTCAATAGTTACAAAAAAAAAGAAAATCATTCATAAGAAAAAAAATCAAAATCCCGAATTTCATTTTTGGTGGTAAATTAAATAATAAAAAAAGAATGTTAATAATCCAGGCCCATCTCGAAAACTGGCTAGAAGCAGTTTTGAGAATGAAAATCAAAACAAGCTTGGTATACGTGAACAAAGAAAAAAAAGATATACATGTTAATGAGAAAAACACATCACTTCTAACTGAACAAAGAAAACAAAAATAAAAATGGTAATACAAAAACACATCACTAGAACAAAGACATAATAACTATTATAAACTAGTTAAAACAAAACAATTTCTCAAGCTAAGAAATAACATTCCAGTTTTTAAAAAATCTAGGCATCAAAATTATACATTTTACCAACGAAGAACGAACCCAATTTTTATACGTAAGACAAATTTTTTAGAAATAATTATGGTTCCTTTTTTGGAACACAATTATTAAATTTATACTTATTCTATTAACTTTATTCTTTATAACAAAAAAAAAGGTTTAAAATTTAATGGTTCATAATATCTTTCACTTTTAAACTAATCATTTAAATATAGCATGAAATGAATTTGATTATAACTTGCTTTTTTCAGGAATCCAAACCGAAATAAATATCGGTTCAAGTTCGGATAAAAATAACAGTTCAAGGTTCGGTTTGTAAAAAATAAAAATATCGGTTCGGTTCGAACCTCTAAAATCCGGTTTGAACATTTTTGTATTCAAATCTACATTCGAATGATGTAATGGGAGGTATTTTTCTTTTTATTTCATCATTAAAATAAATAACATATATAAAACCTTCATTTTTATTAATTGCACATTGTGAAATAATATTTAAATTATAAATAATACAAACAAATATCAATGATTAATTTTAATATGAACAATATTTAACTTTATTTACTTATTTTTTATTAAGCCGCACAATTAATATATTTGCAAGATTCGTCTCACTCAAATTACATCTAAAGAGGTAATATCATTGGCGTACGCAGCGGCCCCCCCCCTTGCCAAAAAATGCAGATGCCGGATATATTTTTCAAAAATATTATTGTTTATATTAATTTATATTTGTTAATATTTATTCGTATCTCATATTAAATATACATTTAATTATATTTATTATCACATTTATCTACTAAGTTATTTTATCAATTAATTTCGATTTCAAGTTTTCCGGCGTAATATTTACTTAGTATTTTGAAATTTTTAGTGGCTTAATATTTATCTATCATTTTCAAATTTTTAGTCAAATAATAATTATTTCTGAAACTTCTTGTCCAGCAGGGAAAAAGAAATTGCAACCTTGTCAAACAAGATAGAATCTCTGCCATCAAGCAGTAACAGCTTTTAAGGAGTTAGAAGAGCCAATTATTTGCTATTACTGAAATATCACAATGGCCTGAAAGAAATATTTCCTCAGAAGCAAGAAAATTATTGGATTCAATGCTTATTCCAAATTTTATTTCTCATTAGAATGTATTATTTAATTATACAACTATTTTAAGTATTACTTTTCAAAAACATGACAATGATTTGATTAAGAAGATGAGAATAGCGGAGAGCATTTTTTCAGAACTCAAGGAAATTAGGGCTAATGTTGATGAAGAATTTCATATTTTATATTTTATTGTTGAGTCAAAAGCAGAGCTATACGTGTTTAATATTTGTCTCCCTCGACTTGTAGCAAGGCAAGCTCATCGTTAAAACATTAATATAGGATCAGTAGAAGAGTATATCTTAAATACAGATACATTTATAACCCAAATAAATGAATTTTTAATTCATCATGCAGCACTTACTAATCTGCAAATATTACTTCAACAAAAGCCTTCCTAACCTTTTTCAGATGGTGATAGAAAAAAAATATTTGTTAGACTTTTATTATGAAGATGTTAAAGTATCTTATGATGCCTTACTAGCTGAATAACTATGTTTATAAGATTAACTATGGTTGATATAGTCCCAAAAAATGCTATGGATGCTCTGCATTATTTCAAACACATTTTAGATTAAATTCCCAATGTACTAAAAGGGTTTATAAACTCTTCCCATTAGTAAACTAATGAGAGAACATTCTCTTTTTTAAGAAGAATAACAGAGGCCTGCAGAAGTACCATTTGCATAGCACGGCCCGGATTTTTTTTAAAGAATTTTTATGGCCCGGCCTGGGTATTTTAAAAAAAAATTTCAGGCCCGGCCCGGCTTTTTTTTAAAAAATTTTTAGGCCCCCCGACTCGGTTTTTTTTTAAAAATTTTCAGGCTCGGCCCGGCTTTTTTTTAAATAAAATTTTCAGGCCTGGCCCGGATTTTTAAAAAATAAATTATATTTATTATTTTTTTTTATAGCTAATAATAACGATTTCAAATATAGGCTGTTTTAAAAAATACAGCCGCCCGGCTTGGGTGTTTTTTTAAAAAAAATTCGGGCCCGGCCCGGGTATATTTAAAAAAATGAAAATACTGTCCGGCCTAGGGGCCGGGCCTGCAGGTCTCTGAAAAACATACCAAGAAGTACAACATCTGAAAGTAGATTGAAAGGTTTGGATCTTTTGACATAGGCATTTCACGACAAGCAAGGATGAGATAATTGAAAAATTAGCTCAATCACAACGAAGATTGGATTTTACTTTGTAAATATATAACATACAAATGCAATTATTCCTAAGAAAATTTTTGTGTAAAGGCTCAAAAAATTCAAATTTCTATTTTGGATCATTTAAGTGATTCTTTACATATAATTTTTTTATAATTCACATTAATGTAAAATTGTGTATTAGAAATAGTTATTAGTCCTAATAAATTTATGCTTGATATTTTTGAAAAACAATTATATTTCTTAAAAAATTTTATTATCCCCCCCCCCCCCCCCCCCACCCAGACCAAATTCCTGCGTACGCGCCTGGATAGTATAAATTCAATTGTTGAAAAACATCTTTCCACACTAACTTGGGTAGCTGGCACTACCAGTGTGATATCAAACAATTTACATAATTCCATCGATTACTCTGATTCTCCAATAATTTAAAATATTCATAGTTTTATTTAATCCAGATTCTTTAGAAAAATTAACTAAAATATTTCTAATATTCTCCGATTTTTGTAACAGATTTTTTTGTTGCCATCTTTTTTTAAAGAAGACTTTCTACTAAATGCTCTTCAGATGAAGATACATTAACCGGCATTGATTCACCTTCACTA